TTCGTCAATTACAATATCCTGATTGTGAAATTGTGTAAAAAAATTTCATACCAGATAAATTTATTATCAGCTGTTAATCCTGACATATCGTAAATTTTCCAATAAATTAACTGTCTTCTGCTAAGATTGGGCGGATAATTAAATTTAATGTGGGAATCATTAATATTATCATTTATTAACTTGTATAACTTATAAGCTATAAATAAGTATCTTATTAGATTATGTCTCAGGGGTAAATAATGTAATCCAGGAATTTTTTTGGTGTTAAATTTTTCATTATTTATATGTTCGATATCTATATTAATGAAAAGTTCCTCTTTTTTGTTCATATTTTTTTAAATCCTTTAAATATTCAATTCTAATACTTTCTCGAAATGATCTGCCCTAGCAACAAATAGGGAATTAATTATTGGCTAAGATTTATTGTCATATGAATTTTTTATTATATATTTGTGATAGAATTTAATCAAATAAATCCCAATAACATATGGTCTTTGTTTCAAGGTTATCTGACCATGGCATAGACAAACAAAGACTACTTTTTTTTTTCCGTGGCATAACGTGTCGATGTTAATGTACTATTAGATCAAAGACTCTAAATCCTACCCCCTTCACCCCCCTACACATGATGAATCTTATACTATACTATAATGTAATGATGCCCAACCAATTAATTCACATATCATTCTTTACATTAGAAAGGGAACTTAAGTGACTGACTGGACTCTGGCCGATGGTAGATTTAACCAGTTCAGTTATCATTTTCTGTATTTCAGAGTTACGTACTTCTTCCGTTAGTCGCAAGGCAACATTTTGTAAATGATCCACATTATCTTGAAGCCTCGACAATTTAGTTAGCACCTCAATAACAGTTATATGGGTGGTTAATTCATATTGGGGATATTTACTCAAATCTATTGAAGGTTTCGGTAATCTACCTTCGGTTTCCAGGTAATCAAGGCCTTTAAAAATAGAAGTAACGTGGTCGTCTTTCGTTTTGTATAGATCATTGTAATCCATCTTATGTGGATAATTAAATTCTTCTACTCCCAATGGCCACCACTTACCATTATTACATGATACCAAAATTTTTTTGGTAGCTAGGAGTTCATCATTTGAATAAAAGGTTACTAAGATATGTTTAAGTTTTACAGCATCATACTCTTTTCTAAAGAATAAAATATAGTTGATCATTTCGTTTACTGACGACGTCATTATACTTATTATTACTGTGCTCGTTTTGGGCAAATGAATGTAATAGTTAAGTGAAATTCTAAATTTTTATTACTTTTATACACTTCTTACAAAAATTTAATTTCTAATTAGTGACAATAGTTGTTGAAAACTTGTACTTTTAATAATAATTAGTTCCCCTTTTTATACCATTTGACTTAATTTTAGTTATCTCAAATAATATGAGAGGAGGGGGTAATAATGATGGTGGGGGCATTGAAGCCAAGTATAATGACGTCGTCAGTAAATGAAATGATCAACAGGATCTATACAAAACGAAAGACGAATACGTTTTTAAAGGCCTTGATTTCGGCCAGAGTCCATTCAGTTACTTAAGTTTCCTTTGTAATGTAAAGAAATATGTGAATTAATTGGTTTGGCATTATTACATTATTAAGATTCATCAATGGTTTTTATTTATACTTTTAGCATTTGCTCCTAACTTCAAGATTTATTTATTATAAGAATAATAAACAAATATATTTTATAACATAATCAATTCAGTAAAATAACTTAAAATACTACACAGTGCTTTGTGTCTCTTACACAATCCCAATAAATATGTCACTACTGTTTTGGACATGTGAACGAGTTTCATTAAATGGCAGTGGTCATCACCGTCACTAAACCATACAAAATGTATGAATAGTGATCGCTATCCAATTTGCCAATGTATCTCATCTCGGGGTCTGTGGTGCGTTTGAAATAAAAGTTCAGTAGTTGTTTCATCTGCTACTGCTCTTTCCCATGATCTAATCATTAGATTCCGTTGAACTTCATTGATTATTTGGCGTTTTAAAAAATGAGGAATATTAGGGTTGGTGTTGATTGTTCTACGTAAGCAGGCCACGGTCCAATATCCCATTCTATTAATATCCAAAAAGGAATTCACAAATTGATTGACGCACATTGCCTGCAAACTATTTGGCTTGTAGGTGTTTTTACATGGAGGTGGTGGTGATGATGATGATGATGATGATAAACCTTCGTCTTCTATAATAAAACGACAGATTTCTTCCTTTTCTCCCGTTTGAATGAGGTCCATAAAGAGATGGGGATTTCGGGTTATGAAAAGTACGCGGTTTACCCTTTCTACATAAAAGGATCCATAGTCTTTCGCCACTATTCGAGCAATTAATTCTCTCTTCGCAGAATTTAAATGATAAATTCTGTCAAGCTTTCCTATGTTAATACAACATATATCATCACACTTTTTATCACCATCACTGAAAACCCGAAATGTATAATTTTTAGGCCATTTATTACAATATTCGGGTACCCCATAAGGATAACAACGTTTATAGTTGGGGTCCCTATAAATTATATCTTGACGAGGCTTGTGATGATAATATGCCTTCCCATCATGTAAACAATAGGGTTTATGTCGAATCATCCTTCGATTAACGTATTTAAGCCATTTTTTATTTTTAAACCATGCTTCGTAAGCTCTCACATCTCGGGTTAATTCCCAACGTATATTTTTAAACATCATGTGCCTGAAATAATAATGCCGATTCAAATATTGTTTTATAGACATAAGCTTTTTCAGCGCTGCCTGATCAACTTTGCTACATGACGATGGAATCGATATTCCGTCTGCTATCATCATCTCTCTCAGAGCTTCTCGTTCCTGCTTGGAAGCTTGTATCATCATTAGAAATATGGAAGGATCTTTGGCGTAGGACCTATATCCCTTGATAGGCACTATTAAGTAATCCGGATCACGGGGGTACTTGAAATTATGTTCACAGAACATAATGCTTCTTTGGTCAATGTTAGAGAAGAATTCTACAAACATATAAGAACAATAATTTTCAGCCTCATTAAATAAGACTCGCAGTATAAATTGCAATTGGGATGCCGCAGGATATCCTTCTTGAGTAGATCCCATCCATATTTTAATAGCATAAACATTTACAATTTGGGGGTTAAATTGTATTAATTTACTTATAGATGGTTCTAAAGTAATATTTAAACCAATTGAAAAATATTTGTCTACATATTTTTTTATTTGGGAACTTGATGTAATCGAAGATGTAAAAGATTTAAAGGGAAACATGGATACCATGGTTTTAAAACCTTTGTGCAAATGAGTATTCCGAATGTTAGTAGGAGTAAATCCCTTTATGTACAATGAGTGTGAAAAAAAATTTAAGTATAGATTCAACCAGAACAAAGTTTTCAGCAAATATTATCACAAATTAGGAAAAACAAATTGACAAGAAGTATAAAAGTAATAAAAATTTAGAATTTCACTAACTATCCATCCATTCATTAACCAAAAACGAGAACATATTTTAGTAACCTTTTATTCAAATGATGAACTCTTCTGAAGTGCAGAAAATGATAACTGAACTGGTTAAATCTACCATCGGCCAGAGTTCAGTCAGTCACTTTGATCTTTGATCTAATAGTACATTAACATCGACACGTTATGCCACGGAAAAAAAAAGTAGTCTTTGTTTGTCTATGCCATGGTCAGATAACCTTGAAACAAAGACCATATGTTATTGGGATTTATTTGATTAAATTCTATCAAAAATATATAATAAAAAATTCATATGCCAATAAATCTTAGCCAATAATTAATTCCCTATTTGTTGCTAGGGCAGATCATTTCGAGAAAGTATTAGAATTGAATATTTAAAGGATTTAAAAAAATATGAACAAAAAAGAGGAACTTTTCATTAATATAGATATCGAACATATAAATAATGAAAAATTTAACACCAAAAAAATTCCTGGATTACATTATTTACCCCTGAGACATAATCTAATAAGATAATTATTTATAGCTTATAAGTTATACAAGTTAATAAATGATAATATTAATGATTCCCACATTAAATTTAATTATCATGAAATAATGATGAGAGATATTTTTTAATGGTTTTGTCAGTTTGTTCAATCCTCTCCAGATTTTTATTCCGTTACAACCAATCATAACATCCTAATGATATTCTCTCTAAGGCCTGGTGATTTTTTTTGAAAAATTGTTTTGATTCAATTCATCTGCCACTACTCTTTCCCACGATCTAATCATTAGATTCCGTTGAACTTCGTTGATTAATTGGAGTTTAAATAAATGAGGAATATTACGGTTGGTGTTGATTGCTCTACGTAAGCAGGCCATGGTCCAATATCCCATTCTAGTAATATCCAAAAAGGAATTCACAAATTGGTGGTGGTGATGATAAACCTTCGTCTTCTATAATAAAATGACAGATTTCTTCCTTTTCTCCCATTTGAATGAGGTCCATAAAGAGATGGGGATTTCGGGTTATGAAAAGTACGCGGTTTACCTTTTCTACATAAAATGATCCGTATTCTTTCGCCACTATTCGAGCAATTAATTCGCTCTTCGCCGAATTTAAATGATAAATTCGGTCAAGGTTTCCTAGCCTAATACAACATATATCATCACACTTTGTACACCTGAATATTCCAAATATTAGTAAGAATGTGGCTACTAAATTTCTATTGGATGGAAGAGTAGCGAAGCGTGTGTTGGTTGGCCGTCAGTGGATGTAAAATGTGAGAGTAGCCTGCGACTACTTGATTTTTATATAATTCAGCTGATACTGCTACCATCTACTCCGGGCAACCAGCTGTCTCCTCCACTCTTTGAGCAACGTTTTGTAATTTTTACTGCCCTTTTTTTTTTTTTTTTTTTTTTTTTTTTTTTTTTTTTTTTTTTTAGTAAATTTTGATAGCAGGATGATTTATTGATTTAAAGTGGTGAGACCACAAAAATATTAATGCTTGCTCTACTTGGTGGAGGTTTCCAGGTAAGCAATCAAGTCTGCACGCTCATTCTTCTTCTTAAGACCAACGAACACCATCTTTGTGCCTGGAATAAATTTCTTGGGGTTGGTCAAGTAGATATCCAGATTATCTTTGTCCCACGTGATACTCTTGACCTTGTTGGCATAAGTGTAAATATAGCCAGAAGCCTGACCAGTTTGGCGGCCGAAGAGGCCATTTAGATTGGGTCCAGTTTTGTGCTTGCCGTTTAATTCAACAGTGTGACACTGTGCACACCTCTGCATAAAGATCTTCTTACCTTTTTCCCTCTCACCATCTTCTGAAAAAAAAAAACACATTAACTTAAAAGGTTAAGGTGTATGCTATTTATTTATTTATTTATTTATTTATATGTTTCATATACTTACTTACAAAAAAAGGACACTTTTTTTTCTTTGTTTTAGGATTCTGCACACTGCACAACCTTGAGTCAAAACACACTCACAGATGGACTAAAAAATACTGTAGATACAGATTTGGATAATGTATCTAACCAGCTACAACTTCAACCAAACACAGTTTCAAATGAGAAAACATAAGAAATAAATAATTACACCCTCCTCCTCCTCATCAGCATCATCATCATCATCATTATCCAAAAAAAAAAAAAAAAAATATATATATATATATAAAATGAATAAAAATATGATATGGAAATGTGGTAAGGATGACATTTTAACTTTTCGGACTAGAGTTTTTATAGCATTGGTGCCTGAGCTGGGCCCTGGGGTGG